TTAATTTAAAAAAATTTGTCATAGCATGTACAGATTAAGTCTGTGGTTCCATTTTCAGCTTCTAGTGATAAGTAGTGTTTAGAGTTTGTGCTGATTATGGTGACTGAATTATACAAACCAATTAATACCATTTCAGTCCTTTTCTGTGCAGAGCGCTAAAACTGTTTCACCTTGTATTTTTTAATTTGTGATGTGCTCTTGTTATTCCTCTAAGAGATATTCTCCAGTTCAGAGCATCATCTGCCTCTCAGGGTGTTGAGAAATACTATCTGAGGAGATTGTTCTAAATTCAATAATGCAGGTTAAAAAAAAAATAGGATGCTGAAAAACAGTTATCACTTGTTTTTGTTTGCTTCTAAAACCATGAATTTAGAGGTAGTTTTGGGAAGCCCTGTGGAGCACTGTCTGCTGCAGGCAGAACCTGTTCCTCTGCTTTCCTTCGCCATGTAAAATGCAGTAGGAGCATGGCATGGGCGTCCTTGTCCAAGTCTGGATGGAGCTGTTGTCAGGGATGGATTCTCTCTCCCTGCGGTCCATCCCTGCCCCCGCAGCAGGGTGCAGCAGAGGAGGGGTCCACGACAGGTGGAGGTGTCCAGGCGAGCCTTGGCTGATGCTGTGCCGAAGTACCCAAAATATGTAAAGCACCTTCCCTTTTGAGAAGATCTCCTGTAGGAACACCCGTCTTGGGCACCGCAGGAGGGCTGAGCTGGGCAGGGGACATCTTCAGTGCCTTGGGCAGTCAGTGCGTTGAGCACATCCCTCCTTGGGCTTCCAGGCGTCCTGCTTAGCAAGTCACCCCGCTGCAAGGTGGTCAGTCTCAGAGGGTATAGTTTGGCTGGTCGAGCCACTGCCCTGCTTTCTGCAGCAGCATTAAATGCAGTTATTTAAACCAGATTGGTGATGAGCTTTAAAACAGACCTCCTGTCCTGCTTTGACCAGACAAACTCAGATTTTCCTGAGTTGAAAAAGCCTTTAAGTGCACCTAGCTGGGAAGATGTTAATGTGAATATAGATGAGCATTGTTATTTTAAGCCAGCCTGACTGAGAAAGGTGGGATTTTTCATGCCACATAGACTGTGTTCTCCTGCTCAAGCAATATTCATTCAATTTCATTTTCTTCAGCCTGAGCTTTGTTCACTGGCATTTTGGCTGTTGGTATTTTTACAGTTAGCAGATGCGTGCAGCCTCGCTATTACTCATGCCCAATAACTGCAGTAATTCTTTTTGAACTACATTTGTTTGTTTTCCTGGGGTGTATGGGTTTGTTACAGGAGGTTCTGCTAACCAATCTAACGAGTCATAGGTTATCACGTAGTATGTATGTATTAGAATAGATATGGATAATTGCGGTAAATTGAGTCTCATTAGGAGTTCAGTCTCAATAGGAATTGAAATGTAAGCAATATTCAGGATTATTTATTTGATTGTGGATTATTGTAAATTTTGCAGTTTTATGTGGGACAAAATGTGGTCGATACATGTAATGGTGTGAGTGAAAAAAGGATTAAAAAGTCAATGCAAAAAACCCCACCCATGTTTGGAACAAGTAAATTATATTTCCAGTTTTGAGAATGGGAGTAAATTTAAAGAAAAATAGATTTGTTGAGATTTGCAATATTTAGTAGAACACTGTTTTTTAAATTCTTTTATTCCACCAGTGTTAGGTACAAGAAAACAAAACCATACCATATTCTAAAGTTGACCAAACAACTAACAAAAGACCACGTAAGAATTACAGAACTGGCAGAAAAATGTGGCAGCTTCTATGCCTTTGTATCAGCTTCCTGGTGGATATTTTTTGTGAAATAATTTCTTGTGAATACTGGAATCAAAATGTGGACAGTGAGACTGCTGTGCTTCAACATTGCTTCTTCAAAGACTTGCCTACTGAGAAACTTATTATCATCTTGTCCCCTTGTGTTCCCAGGGATTAAGAAAAGTAGTATTTTGTAAGATTTTTACATTTTATATACATGCATGCACACACAGCTTGCAAAACTGCATGAAGTACACCATTTATAAGATACCCTTTACTCTGCCTGTACACAGTTGGATTCGTTCTTTAGCAGGAAGATAACAAAAACTAGTAGAACATGTGGCACCATCATTCAAGTTCTTGAACTTCTTTTTAAGTGTTTTTAACATTTGACATGATAGGATGCTATAAGTAAGAGCAGGGATCTTACTAAACTTAACATTTCACATCTTGGTTTTATTTTGTGTAGTTTATCTTCCTTTAGTATTTTTTTAGTATTCTTTAATTTTTTTAGTACTTTCCTCCTTTTAGGTGGGATTTGTTTTTCACTTAAATTGATAAATGCATATATTCCACTGTGACTACACAAGGTGTTTTTTCTCTCTGCCTGATTTTTCACCCAGTTTAGTAGAAGCTTCTGCTTATATTCCTTTGATCTCAGCTGCATGACAGCAGCCTTCAAGGTGCTTTTTGTGATACCAAATTACTGAATTTTATACCTGAAGGCAGTAATTACTATATACTGGTGTTCGCAGATTTGTTTAGTTGGCTGTTCTCCAAAGCAGTTACCATAATCTTCTGCTGTTGCTGCAACTTGCATGACACGTGTTTTCAAATGCTGGTGGCATCTCCATCTCAATTGTGGCTTAGCTAACAACACTCTTGCCTGTTATTTTGTTTTCTTCATATTATTTTATTTTCTTTTTTTATTCTTTTTTATCTTCTTTTTGGTTTTGTTTGTTTGGGGTTTTGTTGTTTTGTTGATTTTTGTTTTGTTTTGGGGACCTGTGGGGGTTTTGGGGTATTTTTGCTTTTCTTAATACATTAGTGTATGTGCCAGTTCCTGAACTCCATTTGACAAGTTAATTGTAGCTTTGGGTAGTGTGTAATAGCACTGTTTACAGCACTGTTTACACCTCCTCGTACTCAGCGTAATGTCCCTGTTGTAGATTAGAGAGACTTGAAGGCTGCAGTAGTGACTGGAAACCCTTGAGAGCCATTTCCGCAGCTGGAAATTACTGTGGAATGGAGCCACTCTGGTAATACCCTTGTTCCTCCGTCAGATCAGCTTCAAGACATTGGTTTCTCTTAGACTGGCTTTGCAATGTCTCAAGCAAGATCTGGCCCTGAAATGCCAGATGGATTATTTGAAGAGTATCCTATGTCCTTTTGCCCAGACAGAGCTCTAGGAGATAATAACTTTTGCCCCTCTTTCATTATTAAGTTATGTTATCTGTCTTTTGACGTATTTTTCCAGCTTAGTTATTTTTTTTCCATTTTTACCCTGATTATTATTTGAAGAGTCGTACGTTTATAATCCTTAGGTGGAAGAAGTTATCTTGTACTCTGTGCATTGTTGGCAGCCTTCTCCCTCCCTGCTAGCGGGGGTAAGCAAGGAAGTATTTGATTCATCGGCATGGCACCTATCCAGTCCCCCACCGCTGAACTGAGACAAATAAGGAGTCTGTCTTGATGAGAATTTAGTGTGGGGATCCATTAAAGGTTGTAGACTATCAAGATGCTGAATCTTGAATTGACACAAGGCTGAAGTAGCAGACAGAAATGTCCAGATCTTCAACATGTGAACAATTAATTTTTTGTCTTCAGAAGACAAGTGCTACGCTGACCAATTCAGAATCTGTGATTGCTGGTTTAGTTTAGTGTCCATATTTTGAACCCATTAATTTTTGTGATGTATGTGCTGTGATATTGTTAAGAGAAGGGGAAGAAAAAGTTTCCAAGAAGTCAAGGAAGGAGAGCTACTAGCCATAAGAAATGTAAGTCCACAGTGGTTCCTCCCTAATTCATGGTCATTTCGGCTGCTCTTGACAGTAAGGTAAAACTAGATCAGAGACTTAATGTCACCTGTTCTTAGTAATTACAACGGATGTATTGGAACAACGTGTGACAAAAAATGCCTCCTGCTTGAGTTTGTGTCTTTCAGAATGCCTGGTGCTTCATAATGTGTGTGTGTGAGAGAGACTTGAAAAAATGCTCGCAATGTAGTGAAAAGCTGTTCATATTTAATTTTTTCTCATTAACATGTTTGACAGAATTTCTTTGTTGTCTTGATAGATATTGGTAAAACTTTCTGTGGACAAACAAGACATTGATGATGGAAAAGCAGAAGTTCAGTAACTGGCACAAAATTGAGAATATTTAAGTTTTTATTTTTATTGGTAGCATTTTAATGGTAAACTTTAGTACTAAATCTTGGTCCAAAACAGCATAAATTTTTTTAGAATCGTCCTTGAACATCACTATCTCCTCATTTTCTGCAATGTTATGTGGACCTTTAATGATACTTACAATTCATCGAAACATTAGTTGTGCTTCCTAATTGTTTATATATTTTGCTGCCTATAAAACTATTCGGTGTTGGTATCCATGGATCATCAAGAACCATAAAAAGTATTTCAAGTTTACTAGATGAAGTCCTTCACTGTAGTTCCACTTGAGTTCAGTTGCTTAAAGAATAGGAGAAGGTTTAAACACTTTCACGAATATGTTTAAGGGGAATACATAGATATGTAAATATTTACAGTATGTAAACCTTCATGTAGGAAAGGGTTGTATCAAAGAGGCTCCTGTAGTTGTTCCGTGCAATGAACTAATAAGTCAGCTAAGAATAGATGCACTGGCTCTCAAATTAAAGTCTGCTTTGATGCCTACTTAGGTAACAATGCCTCAAAAAAAGTTTTTTTTTGACATATATAATTTCAGAGAAGAATTGTAGACTTACTCTGTGAGACTTTTATTAAGTAGGCATGAGACCCACCTAGATCCAGACCTTCTGAAGCAGCTTCTGAACTCAGGGGCACAGCAAACCAAAAAATATGAACTCTAATTGTCAGGCATGAGAAACAATGCGAGTCATATTTTGAAAAGTGAAATTGCAACTTTATATGAGTAAGCCTCTTTCTCTGCTTAAGGCAGTGGGGTATTTCAGCTTTTAAAATAAAATTTCATATAATAAATTTTTAATTTCATAAAATAAAATTTTCTTTTTTTTTTTTTTTCATAGCCTTTCATGTCCCCTCGGTACCCTGGAGGTCCAAGACCACCTTTAAGAATACCCAATCAGGTAAGATTGTGTCACTGATACACCGTTGTGGTCCAGAGTGATGGTGCAGTGGTGGGAACAGATAATGTTGTCTTGTTGGTTACCAATGGCTTGTTGGCTACAAAACTCACTCTGTCCTTCTCCACCCCATTCTGTCTTGACCATTAAATAGTTATTTTGATAAGCTGTGGCCATGCCAATCCCAGCTCACTTTCCTATGCTTAATTAGTGTCTACACCTCACAATTTGTTGTGCATTAAGCCTGTTTGCAGTGGGAGGGTATGGCTGCCTTGTACGATGCTGCATTAACCTCAGCCAGCCAATGCTGCCTGATCTGAGATAAAGGCAGAATGTCCCCATAACTGTTACACCCTCTAAAGTTTCCTAACCACATCAACCAGTTAGCTCTCTGCTTTTTTTTACATATATGTAACATGTGTCACTCTCTTCTGTTCTTTGTTGGATATATGAAGTATATTTATTTCATAGTAAATACGGGGATTATTGGTGAGAAAGAGATATAATGAAATGCTCTATGGCCCTTACAGACACTCTGACGCCTTTATACGTGCATCAAGTTCACAATTTTCTCTGATCTCCACCAAAGGATATGCATGCCAGTGTAACAAGAATGAGTAATGAGCAGCTGTTCATCAGCAGAGACCTTTATTGGGCCATCTGAAAAAAGATGGTTGTGGAAACAGATAGCATTTATATTTTTATGTTCTCCATAGTGCACATTGAGGAGGAGAAGGAGGTTGTCATCAGATGAAAAGTTAAAGATTAGCAGACAGAAGAATACCAGTGGAGCTCTGAAAGAAAAATTAGGTCGTTTACAGTATTGGGAAAGGTTGATAGAGGATAGGTGGAATGGGAAGTTTAAGTTTAAATCTAAGTCTATGGGTGTTTAAGTCTAAGTCCAACTTAGACTTCCAGGACTGACTTTCTTTTTGTCACAGCTTGATGAGGAGACTTTTATCCCCCAACCTCAGTTCTGGATATTGTTTATGTTTGTATAACACAATGTCAACAAACTTGTATTTAGCACTGGCACAATATTGCCAGAAAGTATCAAGTTTAAGTCTTGGTGAGATGGATATATCAGGTGGCAAGACTTTTTCAGATATTCCTCTACATCAAACATGGTGATGTTTGGGAGCAGGTTAAGTTACCTGTACCATAGCTCCTTTCTCAGAAGAGAAATGTGTGGCTTAATTAACCTTGCTGAAGTGTTCAGTAAGTGACAACATCAGAGTGCAATATCATTAGCACTTCAGTTAAATATTTGGAATAGACATACTGTAACTCAGTACAAAATATCTTCCCAATTTTTGCCCCTTTCAGTAATATCTTAGACAAAGATACGCCAGTGTTCGGGTTTCACATATTCCTTTGTTTCTATGTTTCTGAACACTGTAAATCCTGGCAGGTAGAAACTGGATGTGGCGAGTGCTGTGAAAGTGCTGCAACCTGCAGTTTTAGTTTTGGAAGCATTTTTGTTTGCGTGTCATGATATTTTCAATTCAGAGCTGTAACGTGATCACATAATCTCAGTGAATTACAGCTCTTGCAATTCATTTACGTTATGCTGTGTTCGTGTATTACTGCTTTTAACAGCACTACGATTATTTAAGTTATGGTATAGATGGGCAGTGTGTAGAAATAATGAACTATTAGTACAGCTTCAAGGCTGAAATTTTGATTAGACGGAAGTCAGTAAAAATCAGAGTTAAAAGTTCCCACTGTAACTATAACGCTATTCCATAATGCCTTGCAGTAGGGATTGGGTTTCTTGGACAAGGGAGGGTAACACAGTCCAGCCCTATGTAAGGGTTATCTGGGCTAAATTTAGGCTTTGTAACAAGGAAGGTTGCTGCCTACCACATGCCACATGAGTGCCCCTAAGTTGCCTCCAGTACTCGATCACGTCCTATGAGGTCAAGCCCTACAAGGGTGTTTGCTGTTGGCAGTGCATTGTTGCTGTGCAGGTACACTGTTTTTTCTTGAAAAGTGGTGTGATGTGTTAGAAAGGAACTGCAGTCCCTCATGTAATGATCCACAGTGTGATGGCTGCATGAGTTAGGTCTTTGATCATGTGTGCTCACAGCAGCAAATGCCTCTGTGTCGCTGCATGTCACCTGCCATCTCTGGCATGTGACCAGTCCTGCTTTGCTAGTATTTAACACTTCTCCGTGCACTTTATGTGTCATACAGACTTCAAGCCACTGAAGTACATGTAAAACTCTGATTTAAATGATACTGTCTCAGATTATTTGTTTATTCCATTAATCTGCAGTGCAGTACCTTCGAGGTAATAAGGTGCATCTTAATTTTGAATTTCCTGCCTCTTGTGAAAACAAACTGTATAATTTTTGCAGATAGGTTCCTGTTTGTATGTATCCAAGACTACTACAGTATTTTCAGGTTAAGAGTAACTTATCCATTCCCACAGTAAGCAGTACCTGTATTGCATGAGTAGATTAATAATAACAGATTTATTCATTCTGGGTACATTTTTACTGAAAATACGGTGTTGTTTTGAAATGCGAAATAGCACCTAGTGGGTCAGCTGCAAAGATCTATTCATAAAAATGTTTCTCTGGTTGACTAAAGTATACATAAGAGACTGTAGAAGTTAGCCTTATACCTAATTCATTTACTATAAACCCGAAGGACAGATTAAAACATGGGGACATAAAAGCAATGCATTTGATTTAGACCAAAGGTGAAGTAATAACACAGTGTACCTTCATGCTTGAAGGCAAGATTTGGGAGCCAGTTTTGTGACTTTTGTTATCACACGTGGAAGAATAATAAGTTTATCTTGGCATTGGTGCCCTTCAAGAGTAAGGCAGAGTGGAAGATAAAATGTACCCCACATCATAGCTGCAATTGACAGTTCCCTATAAACACTCTGCAGTGGCTAAGTTACAGCTCACTCTCAGAGACTGTCAGTGTCCACATCCTGACCTCTGAAAGGTAATGTTAAAGTAATGGTTAAAAGGGAAGACTGTACCAATATGAGCTTTGGATAAATTGCCATGTACCCAAGAAAAAGGCAGTGCTTGGAGGTTAAATAATAGATAACCTAAAGTTAACAAAGTATGGGGGGGGAAAGGGGCAAATTAGGCAATTATATTTTAGAGATTATTTATACATAATTCCACAGAAGTCCAAGAGTGTATCTGTGCAAATACCTTAGTTGCGGTCATAAGATATTCAGGACTTTTAGTTTAGTTAGGCACTTAGGACATGCAGTTAGGGCATTTAGGAAAGTCAGCTCTTCCACATTACTCTTGACTTAGAAGAAACACGTGAGTATGAAAAACAACGTATCTGCATCATGTCTTTAACATAAATTTCAAAGCATGATATGCTTATAATATATGGTTTCTATGCCTGCAGGCACTTGGAGGTGTCCCAGGAAGTCAGCCATTATTGCCGAGCGGGATGGACCCAACACGGCAGCAAGGTGAACGAGATAATTATTTAGAACATTCAGAAGTACTGTGTTCTCAAACTTGCGTTTTTCTTTCTGTGTTTCAAAGATTGTTGCAGCTTTTTAAGCTTTTTGTTAAGTAAAAAGGAATGATACTTTAAAGTTGTTTTAGAAGGTGCTTGTGTATTGCATAGTTTTTTAAGTTACATGATTTTATTTGCAGGGCATCCAAACATGGGTGGGCCAATGCAGAGAATGACCCCTCCAAGAGGAATGGTTCCATTAGGACCACAGGTACCTTCCATAGATAGATACCCACTTTCGTCGATAGGTCTATACTTATACTATGTTATACTGGCTTTCTGTAGCTGGGAAGTGGCCAGGACTTCTTCTTCTAATTCAATTTTAAAAGAAACTTGCTGTTTTACAAAAATTAATTCTGAGTTGCAGCTGTACAAAGTCTAAAATGAAAACATCAGTCATTTTAATTAAGATTTTAAATTAAAAGACGGAATCCCTTAAGTTGCTTATTTGAGAAAAGTTATGTTTGTCCTGCAGCCAGTGTGAGTTGTAATCAAAGGCTGACATTTATAAAGGAGACCAAGGATTGAGAACGTGTTTTCTCATCCTCCCAACCTAATTGATTATGCTGTTTAGGCGGGAAGGATTAGTACTTCTAATTTAGGCAAACCCTTTGTAACAAAAATACCTGCAAAAATTCTGTAAAGTTTTTCTTTAAACCATGATTGATCTAGAACTTAGATGGGTGCTAGAGAGATTTTATTATAAAACAAGAAGTTTATGCTGCCATTTGTCCCCCTTGTTAATCATTAACAAGCATCTCTCTAGCTCTGTTTTCGAGGACCTTGCAAGAATCAGCCTTCTCCATGGTGCTGACTTGGTCATAATTGTTCATAGGCTCTTTCTTCAAAAGTGTGAAAATATGAGTGGATATTTGTCAGTATTACATTTCAACAGTAAACTAAGGTAGAAAACAAACTAATTTTTATGCAGACCTGAAACATGAATCCAAAAGATTATTCTGTATTTTGTCAGCCCTCCCAATAAGAGAAAATTTAGGTGGTGGTATTTCATAACTGCATTGCCAGTATTTTGTTTTACAGTGTGCTTGTTGTGCCCACATCTGGCATTTTTACTTCTCCATTTCAAATAATCTCTCTAGTGACTTTTGGTTCCTTGGAATGGCAACTGAATTTTGAATTATTAAATAGCTTTGCCTTTTAAATCTGTTCGTCACTGTCTTTACAATTTTGGGTTCTCGTGGTAGAAACCAGTTGTGCAGTTCTACACAACATCTGCTGTGTGATCAGCAAACCATTATTACATACATTTGTTATTTATTCTGTAGCATTGAAGTATATTTACTGCTTGCCTTTTTGGAGGTAGAAAGAGCAGCTTGGCAATGCTGCCATATGAGATTGAGCTGATACTTTATGTAGCACAATTAGTCAGTCACACGGTGGACAAATGTCATGCCAGTTTTTATAAGGATTTTTCCATTTTTTGTGTCTCTTAAAATCCATTGGTTTTGTAAGGTTCTTCTTTCTTGTACTGAACACCTCTTAAAATGGGGACAAATGTAGCTGATCTACACAAAATCTAAGTTTGCAAATCAGTCTTCTCTGTAAGTGGATCATCATCTATCTTTGTATCTGGCATTTAGGATCTTCAGAATGCAGTTCTGAAACCAAATTTGATCAATCTTTCATGCCTACTTTTAACGTCCCCTCACTACAGTGCTGTAACATTGACTTAGGTGTGCCTGTAGCAGGAGGCCCTGCTACCTTCCTGCATAGGCAGTCAACTTGCAAAACAATGTGCTGATACAGAAATGCTTTTGTATAGCAGGTATAGCATGCATATGCCGAAAACATAAAGAAAATTTACCCCAGTTTTGTGTTTTATGATTCTAGACTGTTTCAAACTAAATAACATGAAGCAAAAAAAAGTGGATGGTTGTCAATGCTTGAATTTGTGAAAAGCTACCCACATGCTCCCTTACTTTCTAGTGAAAAAAAAATCATGTCATCTTAAATATTTAAGAAAAAAGTCTTGGCTAATCTGACTCATTTTGGCCACCTGATGTTAGAGAGCACTCTTACGAACAACTCAACCACCAGATAAACAGTGGTGGTTGTGACTTTGCGTAAAAAGCTGTAAGGAAAAAATTGGGGCAGTAGCTTCTGCAGAGAGCATAGCAGCAGCTGAAGGAACCTGTATATTGGTAGCCTTAACGAAAGCTCTCTTACTGTAGGATGAAGCAGTACATTTGATTAGAATTAGCAGTAATTAGAAGTACATTTCATTAGGATACTTCCAGTCCCAAAGGATTCCATAGAGGTCTTTAACCCTGGTCCACACAGATGATTCCTGAATTAAAATGAAGAGGGGACATACCAGACAGACCAAATGGGGAGAATGGCTCACCCTTCTACATCAAGATGGGAAAGTGGAATAAAGCAGATAGGAAATTGCTCTTCTGTTACAGTCAAGCAGTATTCTCATCCAGATCCAGTAGTGACAGCTGTGCCCAGCTGCTTTGACAACCCACCAGTTACTGCCCTACAGTTCTGAGAGAGGAGTTGCTCAGCCAAAAACATCTAGGATAACCTGGGTTAAACAGGAAGTTGGAGTTAATCTGGATGACTTTTTTCCTGAGCATGTGCACCAATTGATGTACCATCTGCACACAAAAAGGCAGCAGTGATTGGTGACCAGCAGCTGTGGATAGTACTATCTTCTGATGGCACTGGTGGGTCTGGAAGAGGACAGCTGTTTGCAGCCTCTGGTTGTATTCCTGCAAACCAGCTGTCAATGGGAAACTTCCAGGATTGTTAACAATGAAGAAATTTTTAAGTTTGTGGTTTTTATTTGTAGCCTAAGAACTTCCTCTCCTAGTTCTAGATCAGTTCTAGAACAGTTCTAGATAACTGATAAATCATATGAGTCAAGGTATAAACAGCACCAGACCCACAGTGGGAATACCACTGTTGGATTTCTTCCATGTATTCATGACTTCGTGTTTGCATGGTTTTGTGAATCAGATCAGTATAGAGAACATGCATAAGCCTAAGTCATATATTTTATGCAGTTTGTAGTACACTATACATGAAATAGAGTGTGTTAGTTTTATTATTAGTTTTATTATTGCAAAATAGACTGCAACAATGACCTAATTTATTTTAAAGTAAATTGCTTCTTTGTCCCCCCTCCTTCCAAAATGCACAGCTGTTCATTGTAGAGAATTTACCATTATCCATTCTTTTGAAATACCAGAAAAATATAGCAAGATTAACACAGATTAGGGAGTGCATTGTGAGGTGAGGTAGACTGTTCTGCTTGTATTCCTCTGAATATAATTTAGCATTTAGTTTTAGTATAATTTAGATTTTCATGTAAATAATACAGTTAAACTGCTGTCATAATATCAGACCATAAACTCAGATTTTATAGGCATTGGGTAATTCATTAATTGGCATTGCTATGACATTCATTATCGTATTAAATACTTTTCATATTAGTTACCATAGACTTTTTTAGAATTGACTGATTAGAAGAGAAATGTAATGGTTATACTACTGTATGTTATAAAAGTGATATAATATGGTGTAATATTATATAAGCATTTATCGATATCCAAACAAAATCTAATTTAAAATAATTCTGATTAAATTCCATGATATAGAAACCTTAGAATCTAAGTGCAGGTTTCTGATTTTGAATGAGCTCCCTTGGTGTGAAAGTCAAACACATTATAAAACCTGCCCCTTGCTGGCTGTTGACTTGACCTCTAAATGTGTAAATAGTTCCTTCTGAAACAATTGACATTTTGAGTATTCTTAGTCTATTTCTATTGTTTGTAATTCTTTCTCCTTGGGGTTAACAATGTTATTTTCTTAAGTCAACAATGGAAACTCCTGAAAGAATGAATTACATTGGCCTATCCAGTGAGCAGTTATGTAGGGATATAATTAACCTGCTGTCCTTTCTTTCCCCCTCCTCTTTGGTTTTGTTTTTTTGTTTTGTGGTAGTCTGACCCTTGGTTGTCATTGCAGAACTATGGAGGTGCAATGAGACCCCCACTGAATGCTTTAGGTGGCCCGGGAATGCCTGGAATGAACATGTAAGCAAAATAATAAAATCTTATAATATTTAGAAAAATTATTATTTCATTGTAGAAGTAACATTTGGGATACATAAGACAGGGAGAACATGCTTTGATAAGTAACATGCTTTGATGACTAACAACAGCAATTTAAAAAATTGAACCCACTGCAGTTTCTTTCTTCTGCATGCATCTCTTAGAGGCGCCTTTGCTCTCCCTGCAAGTCTGTACAAATGCACGGTTTCTTTCACGGGTCAGAATTCAAATCTTGGGAATATTTTGCCACTGTAGTCACTGATATATCTTTGTATGCATTTTTTTAATGACGTTATTTAAATTTATGTTTTTACTTTACTGATTAAATACTTTGTAAGGAATGGTACATATATGGTTCTTTTCTACAAAATAAAGCAATACTTAATTTTAGCAAAATAAAACCATTTTCTAGAACTATTTATAAAAAAATACATATTTGAGAGAAGAAGTATGGATGATTCTCTCTCTGCTGCTGTTTTTATTTCCATAACTTCATTTATTTTCACTCTAAACAGATAGAAGAGTGTTACAGATACGATCATAAGCTTTTCAGTGTTTCTGTGTACTTCTGGGACTGGATCATTGTTTGGTAAAAATTGATGTAGGCTGAGTTCCATTAAGGTATACTGATTTATTCCAGGCATGGATTTAGTCATGAAAGTGTATTATACCTTTAGCACCTGTAGACAGCCTCCATTTTAAGTGCGTAGAAAAAATTCAGCTGTAAAATTAGTGTATTTAGTGTAGACTGGATTTAAGACAAGGATTTTAGCATAGCTAGTGGCCCACCATCAGTAATCTTCTGCACTTTAGATGAATCTTTTGCTTGTTTGGAGTTGCTTACATGATTAGCAAGTCAGGTGGGGGGGGG